AGGTGTCCTCTAGGGAATAAAATTACCCCCAGTGGAGAGCCATTCTTCTGACTTCACACGTGTACCCTACTTCTTTCCGTGTCTTGTCACCTGTAAATCTTAAGTCTTTCAGAGGCTCTGCAGGAAAAATCACTTTTCTTGTTTTAGAAATACAGCTCATCTGGCGCCCGTGGTAGCTTCTGACTAGTTGAGAGTATTGTCAGTTTCACTTGTTACTTCTTCTATGTTGTGTCTTTGACAATCTTTGGCAAAATTTATTTGTGAATTGTTTTCTCTACTAAGCTAATTAAAATTATGGGTTATAGTTTTAAAAATTCCTATTATTGTAGTAAAATATCAGGAAAAGAGGAAGTAGGCATGTACTTAATCTTCTGACTTTTTACTGTGAGAGAATTTCCAGGCAAGGGAACAGAGGGAAAACCCAGGTGGAGCTCAGTGGGTTCTGAGTTGTAGAGATGGAGCTGAGCATTAAGGGAGTCCAAAGTGGCAGAGCTTGCAGAGAGAGTGGCCCAGAGAAAAACCTCCAGAGCTCTATGGCTATCTTCCTTAAGTATTCAGCCGACTATCAGTCATTGTGTGTGTGTGAGCCAGGGGAAAGAACAACCTGAAAGGATTAAGTGTAGTGGTGCTTATCACTCAAGCACGCTGTAAGTAGTGCCTGTTTCCACTAGCCAAACTAGGAAAATATTGATTCAGAGGACATCAGATAGAGAACACAGCAGTGTCTTGCCTCAGTTGTAGATAATAGTCCTAGACTAATCACTGTTCCAGGACTTCCTAATATATCTCAAGAGCAAGGCCCAAAGAAACTTTCCAAGTAATTTAATTGCATCCCAATACAAAACTGCGGAGTATTTATAGAAACACTTAATATCTGGCTCTCAGAAAGAAAAAAATCCACAGTACCTGGCACCCAATAAAGAAATTGCCAAAATTTCAATACCCCTTTCTCAACAACTAGTAAAACAAATTGACAGAAAACCAGTAAGTAAAGAGATTAAAACAACTGTCAACCAACTTGACCTAATTGGTATTTATAGAACACTCGGTAGCAGCAGGATGCACATATGTTTCTAGTCTACACAAAACATCTACCAAAACGGATCAAATTCTGGACCATTAAACAAGTCTCAGTAAATTTAAAAGGATTCAAATTGTATAAAGTATGTTATCTGGACACACTCATTAAACTGAATTAGAAATCAACAACAGAATAATCGCTGCACTATTCCTAAATACTTGGAAACTAACTAACACACTTCTAAATAACCTAAGGGTCACACAGGAAAGGAAGGGGAAGTTAGAAAGTATTTTGAACTGAATGAAGAATGAAAAGACAATGTATCAGAACTGTGGGATGCCAGTGTGGCAGTACTTGGTAAAACATCTAGAACATGAATTGTCTGTGTTAGGGAAGGAAAAAAAGATTTCAAAGAAAAATCTTCCCTCTTAAGAAACTAGGAAAAGAGAAGATATGACCCAAGCCAGGCTAATCAAAGGTGTTTTTGAGTTTGACTAGAGCTCATGGGGACATCTCTTTTCCCTCATTGTTCATGTGACTGAAAGGATGCAAGACCAAAACTTACATAACCAACATTGTGTCTTAAGTCTTAAAGAGCTGGAAAATTTCTCTGGCTTAAAGTACAAACATGTGTTTGCCTGTTATCAGAGATAGTAATTGTACCCCATTGTCTGTTTGTCCTTCTGCATTACTGATGGAAATTTCAATATTATTTGGCCATGTGGTTGTAGAGAATAAACTACATTTCTCAGCCTCCCTGGCAGCTAGGTATAGAAATGTAGTTGAAGTTCTGGTCAATGGCATTGTATCTGCTAACTTTTTCTTCTAACTTGGTGGCTTAAAATAGTACAAACCATTTACTTAGTTTAGAATTCTGCAGTTTGGCTTGGCTGTGGTCTGGGCTGGCTTGTCTGATCTTGTCTGAGCTCTTTTATTTATCTGTGGTTAGCTAGCTTGTCAGCTGGCAGCTAGGCGATCTAGGAAGTCCTCACTCATGTATCCGTGATTGTTAAGCAGAATGTTAGCTGGGAGATATTTGCCAGGCATCTGGTTCTCTGACACTTGTTCTCTAGTCTTCCAACAGGATAGCTTGAGCCTCTTTACAAGGTGGTCTCAGGATTCCAAGCCCAGCTAGAGAGAATAAATTCCAAATCTGTAAGCACTTCAAGCCTCTGCTTGCATCGTATTTGCTGACATACTATTGGTCAAAGAAAATCAGTAGGTCAACCTAGGGTTAGTGTTAGAAGTATTCTTTCAAAGAGCATGGAAACAGAAAAGGGTTGTATCCAACTTTCTGGAATTGTGTTTTTTAAGGGGAGCGGTCATACTCTTTTTCTGCTTCTTGGCAGACACGTATTAGTCTTAGAGTATGAATAGATTTATATTCCCTCACGTAAAAGGAAGAGAATCTGTGGTGGTTCGTACAGACATAAACTTGTATTTTCAGGTGAATTTTGAGAAACTGATTAAAAGGAACTAATTCTATGAACTATAGAGCCTTTTATCAGGCACTTTTAAACCACATTTTAAGGTGTACCTAATACAGAGAAGTTATAAACTATATGTAGTATGCAAACTTTTAGGTTAATAAAATGAGAGTAAAATTGTGTTACCTTATTTGCAGTTTTTTTTTCTCATGGAGATATTTGATTCTATTGAAAATATACTTTCATAACACTGAAGGGTTGCACAAGTCAAGACAATTAAAAATTCTAAAAAATAAACACTTTCAAGTTGATTTATATAAAAGATGACTGAAAGTTAGGTGTAAAGAGGAAAAAAACATACATTAGGGAAGAGTGAGGAGTACAGAGAGAGAAGGCACAGAAATGGTGACTAACTGGGGTGCAGAAGACTTTGAAGATGTCTGGTTACAGGGAAACTAAAGGGATGCTATAAATTGCAGTCACTCTTCTTTCACCCAAATTTTTAGTAAAATTAATTACTTTTTGTTTTTAATGAGCGCTCCTCTTCTGATATTGATGAGCAATTTTCACATCTAGGATGATTCAGGACAGAGCTCTCAGGTGACAAGAAGATTCCAGAACGGGAGAAGCAGAAATGTAGGGTCAGGATGACCATGAGAGTATCAGTACACACAAATTCTTTAAAACTTAAGGAGCACTTTTGTCCTTCAGCAGGAATGGAAGGAGGGTTACAGGAAGTTGTATCTAGATTTCAAGAGGCAAAGAAGCCCCAGAGGATACATGTCTTGCATTTAAATAAGTATATGACAAAATATAGAGATGATAAAGTTTTAGCACAGAATGCACTCTTTCCCTTTTTCACTCTTACCCTAGATCTTTGAAGGAGTATTCTTGACACGTGGGGACTAAACGTGTTATTCTTTGACAGAAATAGTATGTGCAATTCTGGAAGGTGCTTGCCATCTGGGGAACAAGAGTGATATATGGGAAACAAGAGTGGAAAAATAAGGGATTCATTATATGGTCATGGACTTGAAGTGTTATAACTATGTAACTTATATCAAGGGTCTATTAGATTTTCATGGCTCTATGTAACCCATACCTGCCAATAAATGCCATTTATTTTTGCAGACAAAATCGAATCCTTGTTTTGAATAATAATCTGGTTGCCATGGGGCAGGGTAAGAGTTGGGGGTGAGAAACATAGCCAGACACAAGGGGGCAATTCATTGTCCTTGCATATCTTTCTGACCTATTTGTGTCTTTGATATTGACATTCATTGTTATCTACAGCTGTATCTGGCGCATGTAGAACCCTTTACTTTTCAGAGTATTCGATATTTTGATTCAATTATTTTATCCTTAAATAATGATACACTGAGTTTCTATTTCTCAGATGAGGTAAAAAAAATGAGGCTGTGATAGATTTTTAAAAATACTCTTTAATTAAAAAACCCTTCTCTGTATCTCTGTAACTGAATCCCAGTCGCATGTGATAGTTTTGAATATCCCTGAGGTTAAAGGTAAATCCAACCATGTCTTTCTACAGGTAGGTTACTTCCCTGTGTGATAACCTTGCCTCCACATGTGGAGAGCTGGATTCAGTCCAAATGGAAGGAAGTTGCGGGGGGGACATGCCAGTGACTTGATAAGCGATTGGATGTCTGTATTCGCAGCTCTTGTGAAAGTCCTCAGATGGTAGTGAATTTCTCATACTTATTTCATGTTTTATGTGTATATGTCCCCTTGTGAAAAGGTTTAGCTCTTTCTTTAACCAACAACATAGTATTATCTATGTATATAGTAAATGAGCATTATACGTTTTATGTATTTTCATTCTCAAACAGCAGCTTGAAGAGGAATATACTCCTTTTTTTTTCCCAGCTATTATTTTAGTTGACAATGCCCAAAAGCAAGTAAATTTTTTGACATTTTTTACCACAATGTAAATTAGTTAAATATACTTAATGTGATTAAATCATAATATGAATGAACCATAAATATACTGAAATATTCCAAAGAGCTAAGTTGTGTAAAAAAAATATTATTAGAGTCAGTATCAGTAGGCATAAATGGACGCTATTAAGAACTTTATTTTAAACATCTGAAACCTTGACGGGATGATATTATTATAGAAAGATTCTTCCTTACTTCAGGCATGCATAAAGCAAGTATGGATCAACGAAGAAATGAAAGAAATGAAACAAAGAGGCGGAGATTAAAGATGAGATTAACTGCTTGGTCTTTTCTATTTTCAGCCTCCATATGACTGTATTTTGATTTCTTTATGTGATGCTTAATGCGAATTCCACCTCCCTTTCAGTCACATACTGTTAACTTCCATGGGGCTTATTTTCATTTGGCTCTGTGTGTTCACCTTGCCAAAGCTCTCCCGTGGTTTTGTGTCAGGAGGAGAAATACCCTTTTACCTTCTTGTCTGTTTAACATTTAAAGTTTTTTTTTTCTCCCTCCCTTCCTGCCTTGTACCTAATGAGCAAATTACCTAAAAATAGATACGCTCATCATTCTACAAAACATTGTATCTTCTCTAGATCGGAGGCCAGTGTAATTGTAAGAGACATGTGTCTGGCAGACAGTGCAATCAGTGCCAGGATGGATTCTACGGTCTCCAGGAGTGGGATCCTGATGGCTGCCGTCCGTGCGACTGCAGTACCTCTGGGACAGTGGATGGAGATATTACCTGTCACCAAAATTCAGGCCAGTGCAAGTGCAAAGCAAATGTTATTGGTATGTGTAATGCAAAGGTTTACAGTCACAACTCTATTACCATCTGGGATAAAATCCTCTGTTTGATTTCTTAACTGAAGAGCAAAGCAAATTTCCTTGCTCTAGGCAGGCTAGAAAAAAAAAACAATTTGGGATGAAATTAACTGTCTAAAAATGATTAGATTAATAATTCTATCAAACTACAGCTTGAAGCTTAGTTTAATCAACCCTTTAGAAGTTTCTTTATTCTGTAGCTGCTTTAGTTCACGTGGTCCCATACTAATAAGTCATAGAAAAATATAATTTGCTTACTGCATAGATGTTTCTTTTAGAAAATTAGCACTTTTTCAAAATGTTTTACACTTAATGAGTTCTAAGCAAGTCATTTCCATGCTAGTTTTCTTAATAGACCAAAATAAATGGATTTTTTTCAAAATATTCTGTGCTATAGGGTCCTTTGTGATAAATCTTTCCATTTTTTTCTATTATATTTCTTTGAACTGTTCCTGTGAAATGCAAAATAAGTCAACATAATTCCACAGATCATGTATATTGCTAGGGTTAGTTATAAAGGGCCACATAATTTTAATTTTGTAATTCAGTGCCAAGATGATTATAATAAACAGCTACCTTCGGTGTTATTTATCATTTTTTTATATAAGACGTGCTTTTTTGTTTGTTACTCCCACAGGTATTTTTCAGAAATTAGATTTGATTATAGCAATTTATTACATCCAACATTTTTGAGGGGAGCCACAGCCACATAAGGACAAAATTTATCAAGTGCCCAAAATGCACTATGTACATAATGCACTTTGAAATTTTGATATATGAGAATATTATGAGAGGAAAGTTTCCTGATAAAGTGAGTCTTGTGTTGTAACTGAACACGTCTTGGTTTGTATAGGAAGTTTAAAAAGGACCTTTACCTTTCTATTGTCATTCAAGACACCAAACCTTCCATGGTTTTTCTAACATTGACCTGAACCTTATAATAATATAAACATGCCTGGAAGACAGACACACGCACACACATACACACCCCAAAATGCATCCACACACATACGTAAGAACATATCATTCGGAGCAACATTTTCATTTCTGTTATATAACACTAAGGCTAATTCTTTATCTTTTATCTATGTACATAAACATTTATCTTTTTGTACCAGTCAACTAGAGAAGCATTTCATTTTAACTTAATAAAAAAGAACATGAGCTGGCTTTATGATACTACGCAAGATTTCTCTGGTTTAAAGAAAGATTACATCAAAATCTTTAACATAACTTGCCCTTACACATTTCAAGCATGCAAAAACTAACTTTTCTGGAAAAAGTTACTTATAAAGAGAAGTACATTTTTGTATGTTATCTCTGATACGGAATGAAAGGTAAGACCTTTGAATTCCACTATATAGCATCCTTTGTTCTTTAAGATAAGATACATTTTAAATTCAAGATGTGAAAACAAAATTTAAAGAAAGGCCTTTAGAGATAGTAAAATGGTTACAGCTCTGTATCAATAAAATCTTTCTTGTGATGGTTAGAGTCCAGAGCTTAAGGAAGAAAAAAAAATCGAACTTTACTATTTACTTAGAATTTGTTATGACCTCCTTGCCATTTACTTACATTATTGGTTGATCCAGGTAGTTTTCTGCAGGAAAATATAAACCTATTTTTTGAAGACAAAATTAGCAGTTTGACATTACTATCTGTAGAGTTATTTCTGTATATGTAGTATTTTTTAATAAAAATACAAACTTGACATGTATATATAGAGATAATTCTTTTCCTAATGAGACTAGCAAATAACCTTATTCAATTTTACCTTGTTAATATGATTAAGAAAACAACAGAAAATACAAATGTATGTTGTATGTGCTTCAGAAAGCAAACTGTTAGATTTAACAAAACTGTTAAATCTTACTAATGATTCTATCACCCGTAAAATACATTAGCACCAATAATTTTATTAAAGTAGGTCATTCATCTAGAATAAAAAGGGAGAAGAATGTGAATTAAATGCCAAGTGCGCTAACTCGCCTGTACTTGTTAACACCGAATGTGATGCCCTGTAGGCCTTCCTGAGTATCGTTAGGAATAGATTACCTGTCAGGAATATGTATGGCATATTCAAATAAGCACTGCGCATATTTTTAAAACTGATATGATATGAATCCATGTAGACCAATTTTAATAGTTCAAAATGAGTCATAATTCTTGTTAACAATACAGTTATTTTTAAAATTTGCAGCAATAGTGGTCCTTTTTTATTTTCCTTATTGAAATTAAATGATATGCCTTAGGTGAGTCATTCATCACTGTTAAAGAACTTGCCTTCCATTGGAGTTCTTGAATTTTTATCCACATACATACATATATATTATGCATTTCTTTCCAGTTTAGGGAATGCTTTTCTGCATATGGGTTCCTGAGTGTTTTTGACTGTTACTTTAGGACTAATTTTTTAATGCTGTTATAACTTGAAATAAATGTTTCAATTGATTCAGCCTCACATAGTCAGTTATTTAAATTCATGGATGTGTGAGGACTATCTAAAGGAAGTATTTTTTGGCATCTCAACCTTTCCTGTTCAAATTTCTTTTTTATTCCTTTGCCTTGTAATACTCTCTGAAACCAACCTAAGTTGTCAGATTTCAGTGTAGGTGATAAAATGTTTTTCTCTCTTTATGAAATGTATGTATGTATATACTCCTTCAAATAGAAGTAATGTAAACCGGAGAATTTACTTAGTGTTTAAAGAGGTATGTTCTGAATCACACAATATGACAAGCAATGTGATTGCTTTATGAGCCAGGGAGAGCATAATTTATATTAATTGAAAATGATAAAATATAGGAGCATATAAAAGCATTGAAATAAAAATTGCTTTGGACAACTTTTATTTACATTAATTATTTAAGTGTGTGATATTCAGAAGTAAGTATATATACTGTTACCACAGAAATAGTTAACACTTTATTAAACATTTTTAGAGGATTCTGATTTCTAGGCATGAATTAATGTGGCAATATATAATTCTTCTGTATGGCTTTGAAAATGTATTTCACTTTCTACCATAGTTTTAAATGAACATGCTTTATTAATATGAAATAACTAAGAATAATAATTTGAATATGGTTCAATAATTTTAAAACAATAGTTCTGATATTTGTTAAATAGGAAAAGAGCTCCAGTATGTGTAACAAAAGCAACATTTGCATTAAGGATTTTTCTTTCCATTAAGTAATAAATAAAGTTTACAAAGCACATTATGAAAATAAAGTCATATATGAGTGCCAAATTAAGTATTGCCATCATATTTTGAGTATACAGTTGGCCGTCTCTAGCATTACTGGTGGAAAAACAACAACATTTTGTGTCTCTGTTAAATGTCAGCAGTAGCGTTATTTGTGCTTCAGCTGTCTTGAAAGCTCGAATGGAATCATTTTCCCATCTTTACTTTTTTAAACGTATTTTCTCTCTAGGGCTTAGGTGTGATCATTGCAATTTTGGATATAAATTTCTCCAAAGTTTTAATGATGATGGATGTGAGCCCTGCCAGTGTAACCTCCACGGCTCAGTGAACAAACTCTGCAACCCACTTTCTGGGCAGTGTGAGTGCAAAAAAGAAGCCAAAGGACTTCAGTGCGACACCTGCAGAGAGCACTTTTATGGATTGGACTCCGCCGGCTGTAAGGCCTGTGACTGCCACATCGCTGGATCCCTGCCCGGGACCGTCTGTGATGCTCAGACAGGACAGTGCGTCTGTAAGCCCAGTGTTGGAGGGAGACGGTGCAATGAATGCTTGGAGGGGTACTTCTACCTACAGCAAAATCATTCTTTCCTCTGTCTGCCTTGTAACTGTGATAAGACGGGGACAGTCAATGGCTCTCTGCTATGTGACAAATCAACAGGACAATGTCCTTGCAAATTAGGAGTAACAGGTCTTCGCTGTAATCAATGTGAGCCTCACAGGTACAATTTGACCATTGGCAGATTTCAAGACTGCCAGATGTGTGAGTGTGATGCCTCGGGGACGTTACCTGGGACCATTTGTGACCCAGTCAGTGGCCAGTGCCTGTGTTTGCCTAAGCGTCAAGGAAGAAGGTGTAACGAATGTCAAACAGGTAAGAGAGAAATGTGTTACAGTTTCAGTCCGCAGTGGCTTTCCCTTCATTATCCTGTTTTGGGTGATTCCTCTTTGCTTCTCAGTCAGGACTTCTAAAAAATTAATCTCCAACATCATTGTTGTACTTGTATCATTATCTAATATAGATACAACTATTTAATTTACTCAAGATTATGTGGCATATTTGTGTTGCTATATTTGGGGTGACCCTTTAGATGAATGCCAGCCAGTCAGACATTTCATAACTGTGACTTAGATTTAATTTCTCAATTTGAAGTAAATCTCCTTTTAACAACTGAAAAAAAAATCTAAGAAAAGCAAGAATACATTTTACATTCCAGAGAAAGGGAAACTTGAGTTGATTATCTATACAATGCCAAATATTCAGGTGATAAACTTCAGGTGATTTTCTTTTTAAACATTTTTTTATTTTTTATATAACTTTTAAAGGTTATTTTCCATTTACAGTTATTATAAGATATTGGCCATACTCCCCATGTTGTACAAAACGTCCTTGAACTTGTCTTACAC